TGCCTGCCCCTTCTGAGAGCTGGGATCGGGGGAATTCCTGCACATAGGGTGAGGAGTTGGGAACCGATGTACCTAGCAAATTCACGGCCCATTTTGGTCTATTTCACAGTTACAGGATTTTAAAAATCATAAATTTAATGACTGCATCATTTAAATTTTAAATTCCATGATGTTGTAATTATAGGGATCCTGACCCAAAAAGGAGTTGTAAGGGGGGGGGGGATCTTTACTTCGGCACTGCTGCAGGCAGCAGCAATATCTTCAGAGATGAGCAGCTGGGGAGCAGTGGCTGCTGGCTGAGAGCCACCAGGTGCGATGGTACAATATTGCCACCCTTATTTTTGCGCTGTTGTTGGCGCCTGGAACACTGCTGCTCTCTAGCTGCCCAGCTCTGAAGACAGCACAGAAGTAAAGGGGGGCAATATTGCAACTCCCTAAAATAACTTTGCAACCTCCTTGCAACCCCCTTTTGGGTCAGGACCCCCAATTTGAGAAATTCTGGTCTCCCCTGTGAAATCTGTATAGCATAGGGTAAAACACACAAAAGACCAGATTTAACAACGGGAGACCAAATTTCATGATCCGTGATATATTTTTTGTGGCTGTGAATTTTGTAGGGCACGATGCATACCTCAGGCTCTAAAATCAGTCAGAGCAGGAAAGGGAACACTCACTGAAATGAATGGCATGATTCGCAGGTCACAGAACTACTGTTTCAGGCTGCAGTCATCTCAGCGGGGTATCCCCATTTCGATGTGAACATCACATTGGGATGAGTGGGCTACTTCAGACTTTTTCACGTCTCCTATTCTGCTGAGCAGCTGTTTCCCTCCAAGGTACCTCTATCTTTCTTGTTTAAAGGACGACACTAAGCCCTGGTCTACACTAGGGAGTTATTTCAAAATAACAAGCAGAGTGTCCACACTACCAGGCGTGTTATTTTGAAATAAGGGGATGGTTATTTTGAAACCTTGGGGAATAAGCTTATTTCAAAATAGTTATTTCAGGAGTTGTTATTTTGAAAAAAGTTATTTTGAAATTATTTCC